TGAAATTTGGAAATCCTATTTGATCCTCACATTTCTTTTGAATGTTTGTGGTTTGAATCCAACTTAATCATTCAAATCATTGTCTCAGTTCTTGACCTCACAGCTGAGTGGGGGGGCGGGGTAATTGGGCGATGATGAGATGTTGAGTCTGTTGGCCGAGTCAGGATCAGTCTGTCTTGTCCTTGTTAGCTTTTCTTAAACCTAGCTTGTTGCTGATTTGTCTTGACCGATAATTCTATGAGAACTAGGATCCTATTGCATGAATGTTAACAAAATAAATGTTGGCAGGATTACAAGTTAGGAAATTGGTGGGTTAAGCCTTTTACTACATCATAGATTTTGGGGAAATAAAGCATCTCAGTCACTTTATTCCATCATTTTAGAAATGAATGTTGTCCAAGCTATTACCCTGCACCCCATTTGGTAGTAGATCCATTTCCTTTAATTAGCGAAGGTTTGGAGATCTTAGTCTGTAGCTTACCACAAAACAGTAGTGCTCTGCCAAAATAATTTGAAGTACCAAAAGGGTTGAGATGCGAGCTACAAAACGGGTCTGGATGGAAACAATAGATGTTTTGCATATTTTGTTGTAGGATAAAGTAAGGGTTACTGTCTCTGCTGTGTATCTTTTATAGTGTGTACTCTCATCTCTCTTTTTAGAGATGACTGTTACTGGTTCAGCTGGAGTATCAGATTCACCATCAGAAGCTGCTGTATGTGTTGGGTAAAGGCGGTATTTGGGGTATAGTCTGCAGAGTGTCTGGCTGGACTTGTTTTTCAGGCAGATTGAACAACAGCTTCTCTCATTCCTCTGCTGTGGGCGTTTGGCCTGGCCAGCTAAAAGGCACTAGTAGCAGCTGGACAGGACATACTCTGTACTCCATAGATGACCACGGAAATATGGCTGGAGAGGAGGGGAGACAGAAGAGGGGGAGAAAGACAGACAGACAAGTTGACAGAAGACACAAAGCTGTGGCCCGGCAGTCTTTTTAAAAAACTATTTTCATGTCCCTTAAGATTGTAGGCTGATTGTAAATGCACATGGGATGGTATTAGACCTCAGCCAGTTTCATCATAAAACAAACTTAATGAAGATGGCCTTCTGCTATGCATCATCCTAAATCTAAATATTTAGGGTTTATAGGTTGCATTGTAAAGGGTATGCACTTAACATCATGGAAGTTATTGCAGTTACGCCAACTGAATGGCAGTGCTAGCTGTTGCCATTTTTCTACTTGTTAAGTTCAGTTAAATGTTTAAATATAACATGGTTTATCATTCATAACATTTACCAAAAGTACACAATTCAGATCCATTATAACTCTCTATGTTCAAAGAACAAAACAAAAGTAGTAAGTAAGTAATTCACTGTAGTTTGCCGTATATATTCATTGTCCTAAGTGTTTTTGTTTTTTAGCTTTTAAGGTTATTTACATTTGGTGTAAATACTTGTCTTTAGCATCCTTTTTTTAATGCTAAATTGTTTCTTAAAAATACTTATTTTGTATTACCCTTATATTGTATATATATATATATTACCTACTTTGCAACTTATTTGTTTAGATTAATACAGTATGTTTGCACCACCAGATACCAAAGCAAATTCCTTGTATGTGTAAACGTACCTGGCAATAAACTTGATTCTGATCCTGATTCTGATTTGACCTTGTAAATTAGCCTAGTGGCTAGCCAAAGGTAAAATCCATGGATCCTCTAGTAATTTGTTGAATTGAATGCTACTTACTGCTAACTACCTTTGTTATTTGAAAATATAATAGTTTTTAAATCCTGTTTTTGCAGTTTCCCATACTATAACTGCAGCCATGTTGCAGGTTGTTGTTTAGCACTTTTCAGTCTGACTAAGTGGGCGTGTACATGTGGGAAAGTAACGTCTGCAAATACCTTAAACGTATTTCTAGATTTATCATAGTGAAACATCTGTATGTCTTTATCGCTCATAATTTAGTCATATGCTGTGAAAGTTGTGTGCGAGTGTCTTAGATCTTGAGTCAACGTAAAAGGCTCAGTTGAAAGTAATAATTGATTGCAAATGAGTATTTGACAACATTATATCAATATAAAAAAAATAAAAGTCTGAAGCCCCTAACCCTACTGGCTGAGGATTTAACCAGTTAAGCATTAGTTTAAGATGCTTAAATCCCTTTTTTATTTGTTATTAACCATGGACTTATGACCATGACTACATGACTTATGTATTGTGAAAGGTGTTGCTCAGTTTAATTGGCTGCAACTTAACATTATTGAGTCAGTCTCACAGCTCTCATTAGCAACAGAGTACACAGTACACAGTTTTTAGTCATGGTCAGGGAGGTCATCAAATTGTCAGGATTTTATTATATATATATATATTTTTTTGGGACAATGAATACATAAAAGATACAATAAAAACCTAGGCGGTATTTCTTGAGATTTCTTCCTCTTGAGCAAAGTATTCAACATATATACTATTTATGTTACCTCTCTAAGGCTAAGTAAAACAACACCATAAAACATTGAATGTTTTCTTTCTGTCCATGTGGTACATTAAAGGTGGGGTAGGTCATTCACTTCAGAGACACTTGTTGTTATATTCCATGGAATGCTCTTAACATCCCGATAGCAATGAATACATGAAATGCTTTGACAATAAATACATTAAAAAATGTCATCTGTGGAAGCCGTGGCGCTGTAAAAAGCACGACCAATCATTTTAGCCGGGTCGGCTAAAATGATTGGATGGCCTACCTGCCTGTCAGCCTTCCATCTGTGCACAAACTTATCTCGTGCCCTCATTGGTCCTGTGCACGTTCGTGTGTGTTGGAGGAGGGGCTCTAATTTTTTCCGGCTGCGTACTTTCAAATTCTAGCGCACTCGAGCTGGTTTCTCCATTCTTACCTACCTACCTTTAACTCCCACATGCCTTATCTTTTTCAATTTAAAAAGTCTGATCATTGCCCAATGTGTAATCTTTTGGCAGTCTCCCAGAAAGAACTACATTTTTCTTTCTTTGTTTGTCTGGCAGTTGTTTGTTATTCTCCGTGTGTGAGGGGAAAAAGTGAGTTGGTGTGCCCTCATACGTGTTTGTGGGAGTGAGACTTGATGACATGGTTAGGCTTCGGTCCTTTGGGAGGAAGAGGGAGGGGGGAGTTAAGCGGGGGTTGAGAAATTGATGCACCGCAGGTTTTTGCCATTAGGCCTTGTCCTTTTATCACTACGGAAAGACCTTGCCATGTTTTTAATATATGTATGCTCCCAATAAGAGTTTCTAAGATGATCTATCTGCGCTTTGAGGATTCACAAGCTGCTAGAGACAGCACAAAGGCCAGGTTGAAACATCTGTCAAGGGCTTGGGATTTGTCTCAGGAGACAAATAAGGTAACAATAAAGCCTCTGTATTTTTTCTCTCAACACGGAGGGGGAGCTATGCCATACATAATCTATGGCTTTATGCTGATGTAACATAGGCTTATTGGATAGCACGAAAGAGAAAACAATAGCTATGTGTTCTGAGCAACAACAAAAAAGTTTCCCCCCTTAGTGTACCCCACTGTTGAGGCACGGTCTTTTTGGAGTCAGTCAGGGGAGAATTTAACATTGTTATCTAACTGTCTTTCACTGAGACTTTAATGATTTCCAAATGTTCCATCTGATTGCTATTGGCAAAGGTTGCATGTTTAGCGTAATGTGTTGGAAATGTGAGCAGGCCTTGGCTGGCACTAGGCCTTGGGGTAAAACGCAAAGTCTGACCCCATGAAAAAACCTGGCCGCGGACATTCCCATATACATGACTCTAATGGAAAAGAGCTGCCTCACACAAACCTCAGCGCTGTGTTTTTGTGCCACCCTCACTGACTGACTGAGTGTGTGTGTATGCTTGTAGATGTGCAAGATACACCCTGAATGTGTTTGGGGGGGCCACACATGTAAAAGGAAGTTGACCTTGTAGGAACATCTCAGGCTGTGGTAAAGCTTGTTAACCCCCTTACAGATTGTGGTTAAAAAAGGAAGTCTCAATATCATGCAAGAGCAAATGTGAAAGCTAGGTGCGATCCTGTAAACGTCAGTGAATCTTTGTTTAAGTCAAGTAGCCCGTTCGTTCACAGATCACTGAACTGCTCATTACAGCTCACTGTGCAGCAGACAAAACACTGACAGGGACTGAGCTTCAGCGTCCGTACCTGCCGAGTGCTTGACTGGGATCAGTGACGGATGTTTGTAGTCGTGGCTGCTGTCATGACTGGAATCAGAACACCAATAGAGATTACAAGTGAGATAATGCCTTTTGGCTTTTAATGGAATGACATCGCTAATAAAAATAACTCATAACTGAACAGTTTGATATGACTGAATCAGATACAATAACCGAAACAATTGTAAAAATTAGAGGTCAAGGTTTCTAATATAATATGTTTCTTTTCCAATTGTAGAAGTTTTAAAAACAATTGTACTTTGAGGTTATACAGGAGTCTTTTTACACAGGATTTAGCGGGATTTTCACTAGTGTATAATCAGCTGAAAGTCAGAACTGTTGAGTTTTCATTCACTTGGAAAGAGCCCATCATATCATCATCGGTAGCGAATCTGCTTCCACTGAACCTGCCAATGAAGCAGTTGAAGGTGAATTATGGGAATTATAATTGGAATCTTGAAGTGTGTTGATTATCTGTCTTTCAAGTTCCTCAGCTTACAGGTGGTCAGCCTGAGAAATGCTTAAATGAGAATTCAATGTTATGTATTCCAATGAGACTACAATAATGCATCAATAGGGATGATGTTTTGAATGGTTCATTTATCAGAAATGTGATGTATTTTCAAGTTGTTGGAAATAAAACAAACAACTCTTTTCTTAAGTAAAGTCATTATGACCATGACATTAGTCTGTACACTAAGATTTCATGCATGATTTACATAAATACGTCAACACCATGTGAGACATGCAATTGAAATCCCTTCACATACTATAGCATTTCATTCATACAGTATTCTTGTGTTGGCTGCAGGGCCAGTGTTTCGCAGCCCGTGTGAGTTGCTGCCGGTGGGGACGGGACACCCAGTGCAGGCCACACTGAAGAGCTACACCGCCCTGTCAGGCTGTGCAAGCAGAGGCACCACCAGCCTGCCCCAGGAGGTCCACATCATCAACCTGAGAGGACATGTTCCACAGGGACCAGACAGCAACCCAGCGGAAGTGAGTCATTCTTAGGAGAAGTTCGAATGTAGCTATATTGTCTGCCAACATCATTGTCTCTTCAATACAAACAGTCAAGATTAGACTTGAATCACAAATTGTTAATAGTGAGGCATTTAACAATTCTCTTCACCCATATATACCTTCAGTATAGGCAGTTGTGTTTTGTTTCTCAACATTGACACTATTCCACGCTGTCTTATCTTCTGGGTAGTATTGTTCAGCCGGATAAAGAGTGCAAGATCTGCTGCATATTTCCACCGCCCTTGTTGGCTCTATTTTTAACCAGTGACTCTGACAATGGCTGCCAGTCCTTTTCCCTTTTGTTTTTCAAGAAAGCTTCTTGGTAAAAACATGTTCCCACTAGAGTGGCACAGTGAAGTTCATCCACACAAATCCACTGGAAGCTTGTTAAAGGCGGATTACAGCTAGTTGGTAAAAGTCTCTTTTTGGTGCGGTATGGCTAACACGCTTGTTAGGTGGGAAAATCATTTTGTTTTTGAAACAGTTTAAACTCAGACAGATCAGGGTTAAAAAAGTGAATGGTGCAACAAAGCAAATAAGCTTTGATAGCCTCAAACTATTTATAATCTCTGTTTCATTAATGGCGCATTTCCATTGCAGCGCGTAGCTCGCTTTAAGCGTGCCGTGTCGTGCCGTCCCCTTTTTTGGTTGTGCTTCCACTAGGCCTCGTTCCGGCGCGGCACGGCGCGGGGCCACTTTTTCCCCTCTTTTCTGGCCCTAGAAAATTGTGGTTCTATCGGGGCCAACAAACAGGGCTGAGTCGGGCTGAGTATGCTAAACTAGAGAGAGGAGCGCTGGCAAGAGGGCTAGAACTACAACAAGATGGACATATTTGACCGTGATTTAATTGTAATGCACGTTTCAAAATGATGCCGAAGTAACAACATACTGATACCGGTTAGTAAAAACCATGAATTAATGCTTTGTCAAGTCTGCAGACAGACGGCAGGCGAAAAACCTTTTAAAATTCGTGTTTTTCTAGATGGAGATTGGCTAAGCTAACGCAGTATATGCCCCGACCGTCCACACTCACAACAACGGCCTATACAGACATAAATAAGGCAGCGACTGTATTCACCATGACACAGGCAGTCTGTGGTGTGTACTTGTTTAACTTTTGTCGAGTTTCTGAACATATATAAGGAGCTGTGAGCTCTGAGTGCTCACAGCTAACGGCTGTGTTGTGTTTCTGGATTTCTCATTGAAGATGACGTCACGGCTCCGCCTACACTGCGTTACTATAGTAACTACCCCAGTTCCTAAACTGTAATGGAAGCGCAGCATGAAGTGAGTCGGCCCTGTTAAGGCCCAACGCGGCCAAGCCGTACCGAGTGTGGCCGAGGCCGACCGTGTAGTGGAAATGCGCCATAAGACAGCTGTCTAATGGTTAATGGTCAACATGTTGAGTTTGACAAACAAAAAAGACTACCTATATGGTAATTAGCCTGATTCTGATGTTGAGATTGGCTAACCTAATCTAACCCTTGACTTTCTAAAGAGTAACACAATAATTAGTCAGTCACTTAAATGTCTGTACAGAGATATTTTCCAACCACTTTTGAGCTAATCTCTTTAGTGCACTGATTTAAACTGGCAGCACTTCTTCTGATAGAGTTCCAAACGGTGTCGGTTTTAAAAACCACTCCCTGTCTCCAGGTGATGTCTCATAGCAGGACTCCTCACAGTTGAAGGTGAATCATAGGCCCACGGCCTCCTAAACGCTGTATCTGGAGTTTGAACTGTCCCACGTTCCCCTCCCCCTCAGTCACAGCAGTGTGAAACGCAGCATGTATAGACTTGCCATTGCTGCTGATGTAGGCTTAAGACGTTGCCAAGGCCAAATACACAGAACACCGGTATGTGTGTGTGAGTATGCTGCATCAGCACGTACATACAGAATGTACTCTGAGTGTTTGTTCTGAAGCTTTACCACATGAACTCAAATGATAGAGTTCTGTTTTCATAACAATGAGAAGCATTTGTCTTTTGTTGTGATCTGTCATGTTTACTCCACACAATGTAATGTCGAAATTTGACGGATGTTTTTTATAAAAATCTTGAAATATGTAGAGCTGGGCGGGAGCATTGACAATGCAACAACAAGCATAAGATGCATTACAAAAAATTGCCCAGCTTGATACATTTTTTAAACCTGTTTATTACTTTACAGACAAGCAGTGTAGTCCAGAGGATACAATCATTATTTATTAAATGAAAGTATGATACTCAGATTTTGCATGCAACTGAATTGTTTCACGCACAAGTGAAAAAAATACTTCTTAACACATTTGCAACAAACATACACTCAGAAGTCTAACTTTTATAAGTAACTATTAACAGGATACTTTTCCTTTTAATTTGGGCCATGCTATTTTTATTGCAGAAAGAAAAATGTCTCAGTGTTTTTCACTGTTTTTCAGCCCTTGTAGGTATGGCAACGCAGCATGTTTTTCTGCCCCTCTGACTTTACTACATGCAGACTCCTGCCAAGTAAGATGGTTGTGTTGAGTTTCATCTCCACTTGTGTCAAGGTAGATTATGATTCAACACAGATAGATTTTTAATGAAAACAAACTGAATTGGTATTTATTTTCGACCAAGTGGCCGTTTATAGGACAGATAAGTGCAAGGCAGAGTATACAGTAAAGACTTTTGCTATTATTTACAAGGATTTTCTTTCTCAAGTTTTTTAACTTGTGCCAACAATGAAACTTCGGAAAGTCAAACAATCTCAACCATATTTATGCTGCTGTTGAAGCTGTCCCTTGAGGCTGACCGTCTAAATCTTATTTCCACTTGCTCTCAAGAGACCCTGCTGCAACTGACAAGGTATTTCTCAAGTCTTCTACAGAGATCATTTATTAAAATTAAAAGCAGACAGATAAGTACAATTAAAGAAATTCGGACACTGCCAACACAATTTCATTTTTGTCTTATGCCTCTTAACTGAATAAAATCTAGTTGAACATTTCTTTTACATAATTAGTTTTATTTATTAAGAGAGGTATAGCGTAATGAGCTCTGTAAATGACTACTCGGAGCCTAAATGTAATAGATAGTCCAGTAAAATTCAGTTTGAAGGTCTGTGAAAAGCATCTCTTCATGTCAACTTATCCAGCTGTTGGTAACCCATCAGCTTAATGGTCAAGTGAGGACTTTAGCGGAGGAGGCAGATTTCCAGCTGTCCGTTCCCCTGCCTACAGCCTTGGCTGCAGAAGGTCACTTCAGCTCTGATTGAGATTACGTTGCCCAGCAGAAGCTTTTTCCATGAGCTTGTGATAAGATAGGATCAATACCCTCTCCCACTCTGGTCCTTGATTGCATTTCCACCTGGGTCTTGGGCACAGATTGGCCTGTTTGGGCACAAGAAGCCTTCCTAAGGGCTTAGCCTTCAACAAGACTGAGTTGGAGGGCACACAGTGCGTCACGCTGTGGTCCCATTGACACAATCTGCCCCTCATCTGTGATCTCTGGTGACAGGAGGAGGTGATGAAACAGGGGGAAAAGGGAATGACAAACTGAACTGAAGGGATCGTCAAATGTTCAACTTGGCTACATTTGGGCAACTTGCTGAAGCAAAATAGAGTAAAGTTGGAAGTGATGTCGTTCATGGGAACGTTCCTTGGAATTATTTCCTAAAAGCAAACCATTAAACTGCATGACCACTAATCGTAAAACGTCATTCCAATGAGAATGAGTTTTATATATCAAGCTCCCTGATCTTCTTTGTATAAATCACAGAAATACATTTTTTTCTTTAATTTAAGGCTGATCTAGTGATCTGATTTGGAAGCGTCCAAATTGATTTCACTCTTAGTAAGGGGTCTTTTTCCCTGTTTGCTTTTCTCATGCGTATACTTTGCTTATTTTCAAAGTCAGCACAGGGGTGCTGGTCAGTCTGTGAGCATGTCGTTTTTCTCTGAGCGCTACTCCTCACCTCTGCTGATGGAGGAGGAAGTGGTGTCTGGGCCACAGAACAGACTGTATTTGGATGTGTTCGAGGCCCGCAGGACAAAAGGTGCCTCTGGCTGGGTTTTGGCTGTGCTGGACTCTTGGCTGTCTGGGTTCAGGGGCTGCTGGAGAACATGATGTGCCCCACTGACTCCTCACTAAGTATCTGCAAAGCCAAGCCTTGACCAGGTCGGGGAATAAATCTTCGTTTCACATGGTGTGTATCGGACATAGGGGACCACATGGTCTGTCTCCTACACACACCCTGGCACACAAATTTCCTGCAGCAACGATGTGTGAGGCCTGCTTCACATCTCTTCCACATCCGTGTGTGAAAGTCATGGCTTGCAGTTTGTCCATAGTTTCAGTGAAGACGTGAGAGCAATGAATTGTTTCCTGCCTGCACCAGTGAACCCATTCAGTACGGGTATTAACTGAGGGCTATGAACTGTTATCCACTGAAAGAATTGCACAGCTGGACCTGACTCAGAATACACACTTTGGCTCCTGGCCAATCCACACACCAACGCAGAGTTATTAAGTGCAACAGAACACCTCAGTTGTGACTGTGCACAGTGCTTCGTCTGGGATATGCTTCGGGCTAGAACTCAGCGTAGAATAACACAACAGAAGGAGAAAATATGCTAATCATTCATTTAAGAACCCTTAAGCTAGAAATACCCACCATAATATTTTGATAGTATTCGAGTGATGTACAAGCCATGTGCTCAATTCTGCTGATGAGAGAGTGAAGCAGTAGAGCCATTTAAACTAAAGTCACAAATATGTCCAATTTTGTTTGCCTGTTCTTGATGCATTCCTAATAAGTGTGATCTTAAGAACCACATGTAATACAGGTGATACTGATTTAAAATAACTTGTAACCTAAACACAAGATGTTACATTTGGAAATTGGTTCACCCTACTTTCGCAAGCATCCCTTACAGAAAGTGAATGACTTAAATCGATTACTATATAATCAATTAAAAAAATGTAATTGCCCTGTTACTGATTATAATTTCTTC